TGCAGAGCTTAGACTTGTGATTTTGGAGTATGTTCCGTGGGCCGATGAGAAAAATGTGTATTCAGTTTTGTTAGGATAAAATGTTCTGTAGATGTCCATTAAATCCAAATGCTGAATGGTTAAGTTTAAATCTAAAATTTCTTTGCTAAGCTTCTTGTTGGAGGATGTATCCAACACTGCCAAGGGAGTATTAAAATCTCCGACTATGATGGAGCTGGGAGAAATCAAGTTGCTCATGTCTATTCGAGTATCTCTTATAAACTGAGGTGCATTCTGCTTTAGTGCATGAACATTGATGATTTAAATCTCATTGTATTGAATATTACCATTAACAAGTAAAAAGTGACACTCACTGGATTAAAGATTTAAACTTAAGACATGAAACTATAAAAATACTAGAAGAAAGAGTAAGGAAAACACTTGAAGAAATCGGCCTCGGCAAACATTTTATGAGGAGGACCCCTCGGGCAATTGAAGCAACATCAAAAATACACTATTGGGACCTAATCAAATGAAAGAGCTTCTGCACAGCCAGGAACACAGTAAGTAAAGCAAGCAGACAGCCCTCAGAATGGGAGAAGTTATTTGCAGGTTATGTCTCTGACAAAGGTTTAATAACCAGAATCCATAAAGAACTCAAATATATTAGCAAGAAGAGAATGATTGATCCTATCTCAGGATGGGCAAGGGACTTGAAGAGAAATTTCTCTAAAGAAGATAGGCATATGGCCTACAGATATATGGAAAAATGCTCACCATCCTTAATCATCAGAGAAATGCAAATCAAAACTACTTTGAGATATCACCTAACTCCAGTAAGATTAGCCCATATCACAAAATCCCAAAACTAGAGATTCTGACATGGATGCGGAGAAAAGGGATCACTTCTACAATGCTGGTGGGAATGCAAACTAATATGTTCCTTTTGGAAAAACGTCTGGAGAACATTTAGAGAACCAAAAATAGACCTACCATTTGATCCTGCAATTCCTTTATTAGGTATATATCCAGAAGACTAAAAACCACATTAAAACAAAAATATTTGTATCAGAATGTTTATTGCAGCCCAATTCATAATTGCCAGGTCATGGAAGAAGCCCAATTGCTCATCAATCCATGAATGGATCAATAAACTGTGGTGTATGTACACCATAGAATACTATGCAGCCATAAAGAAAGATGGAGTCTTTACCTCCTTCATGTTTACATGGATGGAGCTAGAAAATGTTCTTCTTAGCAAAGTATCACAAAAATGGAAGAAAAAGTATCCAGTGTACACAGCCCTATTATGAAACTAATTTATAGCTTTAACCTAATTATAGCCTAAGAATATGGGGAGGGGGAGGGGAGGGAGTGATGGGTGGAGGGAGAGTGATTGGAGGGATCACTTCTATGGTTTATCTTACAGGGGTACAAATCAATCTTTTTAAGAGTAGAATATAAACTCCTTAACACAATAACTAAGAAAATGACCAAAATCTATGTTAACCAGTTTGATAAAAATATTTCAAATTATATATGAAAACACCACACTGTACCTCATGATTGCATTAATGTACATAGCTATCATTTAATAAAAAAAAAAAAGAAAGAAAGGCTCACACACACAAAAAAGTGACTATCCTTATCCTTGCTTACTTTTGATGGTTTAAAGCCTATTGTATCTGCAAATAAAATTGCAACACATGCTTTTTTCTGCTTTCCATTTGCCTGGAATATAGATGACCATCCCTTCACCCTGAGTCTATATTTGTCTTTTAAGGTAAGATGAGATTCTTGTATGCAACAGATACCTAGCCTGAATTTTTGTATGCAGTTAGCAAGCCTGTGCCTCTTTAGAGGGCAATTTAAGCCATTCACATTGATTGAGAATATTGATAAGCCTGGTATAATTTTGGTTATCAAGTTTTTCGAAAGTCCACTGGACATCTTTAATCCTTTCACCACTGTGGAGGTTAGAATTTGATCAAAATTTTCTGTGTGAGTTTACTTTCATGGTGGAGGATTGCATTGGTCATTATGGAGGATAGGTCTGAGAATATCCTGATGGGCTGGTTTAGTTATGGCAAATTTCTTTAATGTGTGAACGTCATTAAAGTATTTAATTTCTCCATCATAAATGAAACTCAGTATAGTTGGATACAGGATCGTGGGTTGAAAGTTATTTTGTTTTTGGAGATTAAAAGTTGATGACCACCCTCTTCTAGCATGAAAGTTTTCAGCAGAGAGATCTGCAGTCATTCTAATATTCTTCCCCTTGTAAGTTATGGTTTTCTCACATCTAGCTGCTTTCAGACTTTTCTCTTTCATGTTAACTTCAGTGAAATTAATTATGATGTGCCTGGGGGATGTCTTGTTCAGGTTGAGTTGCACTGGGGTTCTGAAACTGTCTGCTATCTGAATTTCAGAATCTCTTGGCATGTCTGGAAAGTTCTCTTTCATAATTTCATGAAGAAGAGCCTCTGTGATTTATAAAGCAACTTCATCACCTTCAGGGATTCACATAAGATGAGTATTAGTTTTCTTTGAGTTATCCCAGAGCTCTCTGAGAGAGTGATCTGTTTTTGCTCTCCATTTCTCTTCATCCTTGAGCACTTGGGCACGGTCAGAAGCTTTGTTTTCAATGTCAGAGATCCTTTCTTCTGCCTGCTCCATTCTGTTACTGAGGGATTCTACTGTATTTTTCAGATCTTTGAGGGCTGCAACCTCTTGCCTCAGTGTATCAAAAGCTTTGTTCATTTTATCTTTGAAATCATTGAATTCTTGAGACAGCTTTTGAATAATTTGAAGTTCTAATTCCCTCCTTTAATCCATTCTGTTAGTCTTATTTGCTATCCAGATTCTGAACTTGATTTCTGTCATCTCAGCCATCTGTTTATGGATAGGATCTTCAATTGCATCTGCCCTATCCTTCCTTGGGTGAGCTGATCTACTCTGGTTATTCAGGTTACCAGAAATTTTCCGCTGTTTCCACCCCATGATGAATTTTCAGTTGAAGCAAAAACAGCAGTTGAAGAGAAAACAAAGAGAAAAACACAACTTTCTCGGGGGAGGGGACGGACACCCTTCCTTCAGGACATATTATGTACCTATAGATTGCTTTCTAGGAGTCGCAACTTGCCTCAGCAGAGGTGTCCTGCAGATATCACTCTTCTCTCTCAGTTGGGCTCCTAGTCTTCAACTTTGTTGGGTATTTTCTGGGCTTTATCCTTCCCTCTGGATGGGAGCTTGTGTCAGAGACTGGTACCTGTTGGTCATGTTGCCCCTCCCCTCCCACTTTGATTCTCTTTATCCTCTTCATTGCCATCCTCTCTGGGATGTCTTTGGCAAGGAGGTACCCTGTGCAATCCTGGTCTATAACCCCAATACATATTCTGTTTTACTAATGTACCTTGTTTTCTTGTATTCTGGTTGTCAGCACCTCTATTACTTCTCCCTGAACAGGAGGGTTGGAATACTGTGGTTGATGCCTATAGGGTCTTTACATGTAGTAAGGTGGGAACCTTCACGTGTGGTAGGGCCGGCGTTGTTGGGCCTGGCCTTCAGGAGCACTCTCCGATACCTCCTTCTTTTACCCCTGTGCTCATTATTCTGGTAATTCTGCTGGTAATTGCATTCAGGATCCCTGCAACTGGGATAATGTCCATAATTGTTAAGGTCTGCTGCGTATTTACTGCCTTGAACTGGAATTCCACCAGGGCTTGTAACAGTTGTTGCCTCCACACCCTTTTCTCCTTCAACAACATCAAATTCCACAGTCTCTCCACCTCCTACACCAGGAAGGTACTTCAGGGGGTTATTCTTCATATGGCAGTCTGGTGTACAAATACATCTTCCTTGCTATCATTCCTGTTGATGAAATCATATCTGTTTCTTACACTGAATCATTTTACTGTTTCCAAAACTTTCCTCGTGATGACCTTCTTATTCTACCAGCAGGCACCACTGATGTGAGGCTGCCTGGGCCACTGCTCCCTGCACCACTACCCCTGGTGTTGGGCTTGGTGTCAGCATTGCCTGAGGGCAGGGCTGCAGGTGGCTGCTGGGTATCGGCCTAGCTGCTCATGGTTGCAGTGATGGCAACTGGGGTGGCTACAGCAGCTGCAGATCCCCACAGGTGATGGTAACTAGGCCAGCAGCTGCAGTGGGGATGCTCAGGGCCCTCTGGGAGCTGCTCAGGGCTTTCTGGGATCTGTTCTATGCTCCTGCTACTGATCCTTCTCTATGGTGACTTTTTGGGTCTGGGATTGGCATCTCTTCAAATGTAGTCTCATGCTTTAATAGTTGTTGCTACTGTATTTTACTCTGGAATTCTTTTGTAACATGAAGCCTACCTCTTAGTGTCAGTCTCCCCTCTACTTCCAATGTATTTTATTGTACAAATTACCTTCAATTGAGTCCTACACTTACATTCAGAAGGCTTGTGCCTTTGGTTCTTGGTAAGGAAAAATTTCTCTGCCTTGGTCTTGTTGCCTTTGTGAAAGGCTATTAAATTTTCCAGGCCTTAAGTAGTACTACATTTTTATGGCTCTTTTTGTCATTTGAAGCAGACTTAGCTGAGTTTCCTCTTTCTTTTAACTGTGAGAAATGTGAAAGCTACAGAAAAAGGACAAAGAATATTATTTTTTCAAAGAATATTATTTTACAAAACCCATATTCCCATTGGCCAGAGTTTTAAATATTTTGTCATATTTTCTTCCTATAATTAAAAAAATCTTAGAGATACAACTAAACTTTTTCATTTAACCACCATCTGCATTGTCATACTCAGCTGAGGCAAACACTATGGTTGGGAATATGGTCTCATCCACTTTTATAAACTATATATTGTGATATAATTTATATAATTGTATAATGTTTTCATTCAGCATTACAATTTTGAAACCTATCCATATTGCTATATAAAGCTAGTACCACTTCTGTGCAGAGTTCCATTATATTACATCACCACATTTTCTTTTATTTTTTTTAGTTCATGTTAATTATTAACTAATATATAATTACTTGTCTTCTAGTTTATTGAAGCAGTAAGTTAGACAATGTTTGCCACAATAATGTCTATCAACGTGGCTGGCCATAAGAACTCCAGCACCACACTCATCTGAAGGACACTCTTGATGAAGGCGACTAATTTTGCTGTTCTCATTCACCTTACAGTATTTCAAGACAGCCAGCTTAACCTTCTTTCTCCTATGCTTATTCTTCTTGGGAGTGGTATAAGACCTTTTCTTAGCACTGCCACAAAGTCTTAACACAAAGGGAGAGTGGACTCCTTTTGAATGTCGTAGTTAAAGTACGTCCATCTTCCAGTTGCTTGCCAGAAAAAATGAGGCTTTTCTGATAAGAAGGAATTCTTTCCTTATCCTGGATCTTGGCCTTTACATTTTCTGTTGTATCCAGGGGTTCTACCTTGAGAGTGATAGTCTTCCCTGTAAGGGTTTTTTTTTTTTTTTCCCCCCTGTAAGGGTTTTTATAAAAATCTACATCTTGGTGGCAGTTCCACCACAGACAGCAGATCAGAAAGCCACATTTTACTTTTTGACAACATTTTGACAAATTACTCCCCAAAGTGGCTGAACCAGTTGATGTTCCTACCAACAGTGTAGGAGTATGCTTTCATTTCCCTACATTCTTCCCAACACTTTTGGGAGATTTTAAATATTTGTCTGTTTAATGGATAAGAAGAAATGATAACTTATTTTTCCTTTTTTGTTGATATGTGAAATTTGCTCACTCTAGGGTGATTTCCGGACACATTTGGACCTTGGTTCACTTGCTTAAGCAGGAACTGAAACTCTAGCTCCTCATGCCTGGCTTCTTCATTATCTGCTCACACATATATCTCTTCTTTGTGAATTCTCTCCATGTTTCTGACTCCTGGAGATCCTTTCTGGTTTGTTCTCAAGTGTATCTGTACATTATTTAGCTTTAAAAATATTTTATAAAAATATGGACTTACTGTTCCAAATTCAAACAAAAAAACAAATGCAATGTATAAACTTTGACTAGATCCTGTTGTTAAAAAAGCTATGAGATTCAATGTGTTGATTATTTATACAAATTGGAGTGCTTACATCATACTAATTAATATAGCCTTCACCTCATTTACCCAATTACAGTGTTAAGACATTTGTGTTCTACACCTCATAGATCCAACTTGTACTTGCAATAATCAACACATTGAACCCCATAATGGCATAAATGTATTCATGATCTATGTCCAATGACTTAATAAAAAAAATAAATAGCCAAACTCAGAACATTTTTTGTTATTTTATTGCCATTTTCTTTGTACAGGAATGCAATAAACTAAAATATTAACAACAACAACAACACAAAAAGCTATGGAAAGATATTTGGGAACAATTCATGAAATCTAAACATGTTCTGGATGACATTATTAGATGATACTAAAATATTATTGTTAGAATAGTATTGTTCATTTTCTTAGGTATGATAAAGGTTTTATAGTTGTGCAGGAGAATGTACTTTCAAAAGGACAAAAATGTACATTGAAATATTTAGGGATGATATAGTCAGCTTACTTTCAGATGGTTAAAAAAATTATACAGAAAGATAAGGCCAAAATGGCAAAATGTTAACAATTGTTTAAGCAGTGGGTATAATGATACTCTTTGTACTGGTTTGAACTTTTCTATGTGTTTGAGATTTTT